CCCCAGAAGCTCAAGACTTTCTTTTAAATGCTAAATTATCTTACCTAATGAAGATTACTCAGTTTGCTGAGCATCCCAGAGAGTAAACATGAGAATAGATAATTTGTATTTTTCTTTAAAAAATGTTTTTTGGTTTTTTTTGGAGGGGGAGAGATAATTAGATTTATTTATTTATATTTAGTTATTTATTTAAATGGAGGTACTAGGGATTGAACCCAGGACCTCCTGCATGTAAGCATGTACTCTACCACTGTACCTTCCCCAACTCCCCCAGTATTTTTCTTTCTATTCTCAAATATTATCCAGGTGGACCCTGTACTGCAGGAAGTTGAAGTTATTACAACTTCAAATAAGAAAGCAAGAGAACTCAGAACACTATATTTTTGGAGGTTTTAAACGTTAAATCATTCAACAAATGAATTTATTTTGAGGTACTAAAACTTAAAATACTTAACATTATAAACTGTTCCAAGTACTAGTTTGGAAATGGCGAACTTGTGGAACGAATACTGAAATAAGAGTTTTACACGTCGTACTTTTCATTTACACTTCCAGTATGGCACGGGGATAAGTCATTCAACTAAATCATTAAGATAAACCCATTTGAAACAGTTGGAAGACGTTGTGAAATGATTCCTTAAATTTCCTCTTATGTAAATTGGGAGAATTTGTTTTAGTGTAAATCAGTTTAAGCTTCTCATAGATGTGTATTATATATATAAAAAAATGTTCTGTTCAAGGCCTAGTTGAATATGCAATGATATTTAAGAAGGAGAAAAAACAAAAAGTGGCTAATATTTCATGAGTCCAAAACCACATTTATTCTTAATGGAAAGATCTTGGGAAATGTTTTTGTGTTGGAATATAGGATCTGTTAGACATCAACATTTCAAAGAAAGAAATGTATATTTTCCCCAATGCCTGCCTTTTTAATATTTGGTACTAAAAGCAGAAACATTTTGTTCCTTTCATAAACCAATATGAAAAATAAGGAGATGATTCACAATAGCCAAGATATGGATTCAATCTAAGTGTCCATCAATAGATGAATGGATAAAGAAAATGTGGTAGATATGCAGTAGAATGTTGTGTGCAAATATATGTTTACATATATGTATACAGGAATATTCTAAGAATGAATACAACAGCCTTAAAAAAAAAAGGAAATCCTGTCACTTGAGACAATATGGGTAAACCTGGAGGACATCATGATATGTGCAGTAAGGCTGGCACAGAAAACTACAGCATGATCTCACTTACATGTGAAAGCTAAAAAAGCTGAACTCACAGAAGCAGAGTAGAATGGTGGTTGCTAGGGTTTGGGAGGTGGGGGCAACTGGAGATGTTGGTCAAAGAATACAAAATTTCAGTTATGCAGGATGAATAAGTTCTGGAGATCTAATGTATAGCACAGCAACTACAGTTAATACTACTACATTATATACTTGAAATTTGCTACAAGTATAAATCTTAAATGTTTTCACTACAATAAAAAAGAAAGATAACTATGTGAAGTGATGGTATATTACTAAGATGACTGTGATAATCATTTAATAATGTGTACATATATCAAAGCATCATGTTGTACACTGTAAATATATACAATTTTTATTTGTCAATTTATACCTCCACAAGGCTAGGGGGAAAATAGAAATGCAATGAAAAATTTTAATCAGCATCATGTTTCTTCTTAAAAACTTTAAGCAACTAAAGTCAGCAAAATTAAATTGAGCTATGGAACTTTTAAAGATAATTCAGCTCAAACTCCTTAATACCTATTGGTATATTCTCTCATATGGAAGAAATCTAAACTTTAAAAGGCTAATACTGAATTAAGGTGGTAAGTTTTCAATGATGTATGCTTGAACTATAGCAATGACTATTGCTTTATTCCAGGGTTCATAAGAAAAATTCCCTCCAAACTCTGGTTGAGATCCTTTCACACAATAAGAATATTTATTTTCAGGTGGCTCAGGCAACTGAGTGTAGCCATATTTGATTTTGTTTCTGAGATTATATTTTAAAAACAAAAAAGAGAGTTATGTTCTTACTTGGAACAATGTAAACCAAGAAATAAGCCAAGGTGAGATGAGATGGATTAGTAAAGGGAATATAAATTGTGGAATAGTTATAAATACTAACTCGATAAAATTTACTACAGAAAAAGCAAAAATGAGCAGTGGAAAAAGAAACTGAAAATAAGGATTCACTTATCACTTAGATTTCTGAAATCAAGAATAAAAGGTTAAAGGAGAAACTGAAGTTGAATATTTACCAGTTTTAGATATATTGAGACAAAGATGTTATGGTGAAGTGAAGCACTGAATATGGCTGAATTAGAGAGAAAGTGAGAAAAAGGCTAAGACTGAAGAGAAAAGAAAATAGGAACAGAAAAAAATTACAAGAGATTTGATAGGAATATAAGACACAGTAAAAGAAAAGTTTGAAGACAAAAGATAATTTTAAAAAATACAAGGAAATTGTATTTATAAGAACTTACAGCCATGTGAAATCTATGGTTCTCTCACCCTCAATAATTTTACTAAAAACCTAGAAAAGCAAAAGGAACACAAATCCTAAAAGCCTTGTCTGTTCTGCATGTCAGTGTGCTAGGCAAACCCACTTCCAGGGTGGGAACAATTCCAGGACAAAATGGGATCCATCCCAGAGTTCTAAAGAAAGTGGCAAGAAAATAAACAATATAGAAATAAAATTAAATATCCCAATCACTTCCAAAGTCTTTCAAAGTTTTGGATTTAATGTAAATCCCCCAAAGCCTCTATTAGTTCAATGTTAACAATAAAACATTAAAAGAAAAATAAATTCCTTTACCAGTACTTCACAATTACTATAATTTTAATTCCATGAAGTTAATTTGAAGCAGAGTGAGATTAACACTTTCCTACTCCCTGTCTTTTGAGTCTTTCTTAATAGTTTAAAAAATCTTTATTTTCTTAATAGGAAGAAATACTGAATTGTGAAAATCTCTTTTTATGAATGCTAAATAGAAAAATAACATAAATGACCAACTTTAAAAAGTAAGGTTTTCCATGCTTCCCCTCTTCCCTTCTTCAAACACTGCATTTAAAATGAAATTATCTGGGAAAACCCCTTTCATTAGTCACAAATTTTGTTACACCATTTCATGGCGAACATAAAATATCTTCATGAAAATAGCTATTATTTAAGCAATTTGCATATATTACTTATTTAACTTAATCCACAAAATCCTGTGAATTAAGCATTTTGATTTTAAAGTTTTCGATAGTAAATAAGGCACAGTATTGTGCCAAGTTTTGACATTTAAATATTACAGAGGGAAAAACCTTTGGTATGGACTTTTTTGTGCTC